AGAACACCAACAAATGTCATACGATCATTCGGCAGGCTCTCTCACAATGAGTCAAGTCGTACTTCATCACGACCTCCCATCCCAGTTCATTGAACACTTCAACCGAAGAGCATCCATTCCCCCCAACTGCATATATATTTCCATCCAATGACACGAGGCCGTGCATCTTGCGTCCCTCGACCATGCAGGGTCCCTCCCTCCATGCGTTTTGTTTCGTGTCGTAAACGTACATGTCTCGTCGGCATATTCCTCCGCTGGAGAGTCCTCCGGTGAGAATGAGCTGTCCTTCGTGAGAGGCAAGAGCGGGATGCATTCTGTTCTGAGGGAGAGGAGCGCACAGTTCCCATTTTGGAGCTCGGAGATCCAGTCTCTCGTGCCGTTTGCTGTTTCTTCCTCCGACGACATGAAGGCAAGAGTCGTGTAAACACCCTCCGGCTCCGTGTCGGGCACATGTCATATCAACGAGTTTAACCCAGCAGGACGCCAACGTGTCAAAGCGGAACGCCCACCGCTGATTGTCTGTATCCCATCCCCCGCAAGTGAACAGCGACGCATCAGAGGCAGCAGTCGCCGGCCACTGCAAATCCTTAGGAGGCTTCTCGCCTTCCTCCCATAGGCCCTTGTCGAGGTCCAAGATCTTCATCTCGCCGCATCCTGTCATGTAAATCTTCCTGTTGATGGCAGCAAAGGCTCTGTAGAACTCACCATCTTGAGGAAATGGGGACGGGATGACCTCGTCAATGTGCCAAGCTGCTCTCGGATCGATACGATAAATCTTTTTTTCATCCTTCTTCTGCCCGAGACACCAAAACTGCTTCGATAGAATTCCTCGTGATCGGGTTTTCTCCTTTGGAACAGTGTGCCTGAGCTCTGGAACGTGATAGTCCCTTGCATCTATGCACAGGTGAAGACACTTTGGATTGTCAATAACGCAGGGATCCGTGAGGACCACAGTCTTGAGATAATCGTATGGCAGAAGTGGAAGACGAACTTTGCCGAGGAGTTCCGGCCAATGGCATTTGCGACTTTCGTCCTGATCCAACCATTTTTTTGTTGCTTCATAAATTTTCCTCTCGGAGACGTCCAAGTCGTCTCGATCTAAGAAAGATTTGAGTGTTTCCAGAGAGACGCTGATGAATTCCTCCATGTGGATGAACTCGCCAAAACGCCTGGAAACAAGTTTGTTAGCAGCTTCCCTCAAATCTCTGCAATCATATCGTTCAGCGATGCTGAAAATCCGGAATGCGTTCTCGGGTCGCAGGAATTCCTTAAGAATCACGGTCATCTTGTCGTAGAGTCGCTTGAGCCCGAGAAAATGAGCGTGTTCGAGCGTGGCCACCGCGCCTTCTTCCCCTTCGACGATGACTCCCGTCCCATGGATGTAATCCCAAACCGGTTTGAAACCGAGCTTGGTGAAGCCTTCAAACCTGATTCTCCTCTCGGAGGACAAGGAGTTCTGTCACCTCTTGTTCATCGGCTTCATGCCGCTCTGGCGCCGTTCCTAGGGGAACGTGCTCACTTTGGCGAGCAGAAGGTGGTCGTCTTGCTGCAGCGTGGTCGAGCCAGGTCTCGGGAACATCTTGGCAATCTCCCTCGCCAGGTCGTTGTGATCATCCCAGTCCTTCATCACCATCTTCCTCGTGTTTTCGGTGATGGCAACCGTTGCCATTTCTCTCCAAGGTCGTCAGGTATTACACACTGCACACTGGGAATCCGCAAGGTGCACGTGGAGACCCACGATGATAATGTACGAATGGAAAGTTTCCGCACACATGTACTCCTGTCCAGGCTTTGATAACGCCGTCACCATGGTAACGTTGATATGCTGCACATGAGAGAACAATGAACCAATTGCGAAGGGAATGAAGAAGGAAAGTTTCAGAAAACTATGGTCCCTGCACATTTCCAACCGATGAAGAGATTATTTTTTACACACAGCAAATAATAAAGGCGAGATCCCGCACCCTCAAGGGTGTGCATGCTTTGTCACTGGAGGAGAGCCACCCTAGTTGTGAGCATGATCACCATGAAAGTAGGGTGAGAATGCTCATCGTGGTGTCCAGCACCCTTGACTGTTGCATGGCCACCCTCGGGTGCAAATGTCTCACCTTCTTCTCGATATAGCATGGGTTTTTTTATACACCCTAAGGCATCGCCCCAGGCGATATAACCATTCACTCAGGAATACCATTAATAGCTACTCTCCTTCCTTACTCCTGGAATTCCATATGCACCCTTTGGAGATTCATTCTCACCTTTCATAGTGATGCAATCATGACTATGGAAAGCTCATTGAATATTAAATCCATAATTCCCCACATTATTGACTATTGGCTTCAATTGATGTGAGGCTATTACATTGCTGAAATCAGAGTGTAATGTACTACAGGGTGTTCCAGAAGTCACACACTATGTNTGACTATGGAAAGCTCATTGAATATTAAATCCATAATTCCCCACATTATTGACTATTGGCTTCAATTGATGTGAGGCTATTACATTGCTGAAATCAGAGTGTAATGTACTACAGGGTGTTCCAGAAGCCACACACTATGTAATGCTTATTAACTATATGTAATAAACTTTGCTACAGATTGATTAATTATGACATTATCTGAAGACAAGCGGGTGGAGATTATTCTGTTGCGTGGAAGTGCGAGTAATCGGAAGGTAGCAAGAATCTTTAATGAGTCACATTCTGACCGACAAACAAATATCCCACACATCTGGTAGCAGATTGTCACACAAGTTCAAGAGTACCGGAAGTGTCCTTCATATCGCAGTGGGGCACCCAAAACCGTATCTGAGGAACATCACTTGCAGTGTTGGCGTCGTTTTCGAAAAGTCCATGAGATTAAACATTAGGTTAAACCAGTCCGTGTCATCAGTGAGGGCTCGTGATATTTAGCGCTAGCGGTTCGTCTATGGAGGCAGGCCCTTCCCCTGCCTACCTTCATTTCATTTCGAAGTGGCAAAAACGTAATGTAGGGCAAATCTGTGAATTCCGCAACGACTTTGAATCCCAAGTATTTGGTCCCTTCTTTCATTGGAGCGGACGGCGTCCGTGTGGACAGGACCATGTTCTATTATGTCTTCGATGAAACGTGAGGAAAAGACAAAACGGACGACTCGAATCACATAAGGATTTCTCTCATTAGATTTACAGGGTTAGGATTTTGTCGCGATCATCCTTCCTGAACGTATGCCGTAAACTATCCTGGTGATATCATTTTATTTCAAGACCGTGAAATTATCATGCTTTCGATTTCCAATGTTGAAACATAATTTGCCAACCCTCCTCTGCCGTCGGGAGAAATGTCCCAGCAAGAAGTTTAAGGGTCGAGCATTCAGGTGATTGCGTTTTTTTTTCTTTGGGGAATACAGAGAATTTATCATGAGGACCGATGGCAGGTGGAGGCTGCCAAGACACGACGAACGAAAGCCAGCAGACGGCCGGGACTTGAACCCGGACCTCCTGATTGCCGGTTAGGTGTGCTACCATTACAATACCCAAACCGGGCCATACGGTTACAGTACCTATCATCACACATGAGGTTTTCTGTCCCAACGAAAACGGGCACTCTCACCCTCTGTTCAACGTGGCTACCCCATGATGAAGGTGCGCTCGCACGCAACTTCGTGCTTGCCCATTCTACGACCCACACCTCCTCACATTAAAATTACAACTTCCTTTCTTATCTTTCGCAACTAAAATTAGCACCAAGGCAATCTACTCATCAAGAGCTTGCGATTGCCATATCCCATGTACCATTCGACGTGTGATCCACTTCGGATGTCTTTCCCTGGGAAAATTTTCAATTAGCAGGAAGAGAGATTCAATTAGTAATCATATGTAACGGCAGTCGTTTAGGTGAAATAGACTGCATAGTCCGATCCAAAAGAGACCACTAAAGACGTGGCGTCGTGGAAAAAATGCCAATTAACTTCTAAATTAATTAATCAATTAACACATATTTTTGTGCATGGTTTGAGACCATGACAATCGATATGAGACCACTCTCACCTCCATACGACCTCTCCTTCATGGTAAGGCGATTCGGTAAACTGCGTATTATATATGTAGATCCCTCGATATTATTATCTAAAGATGAAAGACAGCCCACGGAGACGTCTGGCAATACTGGCCCTAAGGAAGGAAGAAGAGGAATTTAGGCTTTAAGACAAACCCACGCCCACGACGTGAATAATGATTTCGCACAGACGAACATGTCTCCAAACCTTCTTTAATCGTGTCTATATCCTCGCGAAGAGACAAGAGCACACGGACAGGGGGCGGGTACAGGGTACACAGGGGAACACAATTTGCGGAACAATACGTTGAAATAGGTACCGTGGTTGCAGACGTCGGTATACCATAGGGGATAATAGGTATACCAGTAAGTCTTTATAGAAATTGAATCCAGCACAATACACAGCTATTTTGGGAACTTAACCGCTTCACATCATTTGAATCTGATAGTCGATCAATAGGGAAGATCCAGTACCGAACATGTTTTCCATAGTCGAAAGATTGCGTCACTCATGAAAAGTGAGAACGAATCTTCGAAGTGTGCGTATGGAAATCCAGGTTTGAGAATGGAAAGTGACCATTAATGGAATTCCCAAGGTAATATTTATTTGGCCTGGTGCGATGCCGAAGGGCGTATCCCGCCTATCAAAAAATGGGTGCTATCTTGAAAAGAGGGTGAGGCATTTGCACCCGAGGGTGGCCATGCAACAATGAAGGGTGCTGGACGCCACGGTGAGCATTCTCACCCCACTTACATGGTGATGATGCTCACCCCTAGGGTGGCTGTCCAGTGACAAAGCATGCACACCCTTGATGGTGCAGGATCTCACCATTATTGTTTGCTTTGAGGCACAGAAGGCGCGGAACTGACCCACACCAACTTCGAGTAACGATCAAGTCGAAAAGTTTTTCCTCATTCCCGAGTAGGGAATGGACGCCCTCAAGAAAGTAATTTCATGGTCTCAACAGTTCATTGGTTGTTGGATCTGGAGAAGTCTGGGATGTTCTTGATCATGAAGGCTGGGATGTTCTTGATCATGAAGGCTGGGATGTTCTTGATCATGAAGGCTGGGATGTTCCTGGTCATTCCGAAAAACATTCTTGTTGATCTTGAGTGATCTTGAGGCCATGTTGGACCGGAAGACAAGGCTGGCCCCCGTGATGAGCGCTGCAACTGAAAATCGTTAATTCGGTTCAGTGAATGCCATACAGGGCTTCATAAAAAGCTAGGTTTAACCAGGTAACATACTCTATTCTTAAAAACATGATCATAAAATGAAGTTCCTGACATCTAAATAACTGTTTTCTTCAGCTGAAGAACTTACATTTTAAGTTTAATTCCATACCAAATCTGGAGGTAAATTTTCATTTCAATTTGCACAAGTATGGCACTTTGGGAAAATGGGACAGGATCAAGAGAGGCGATAAAACTATTGTTTTACTCACGGGAAAACCCAAAAGTAGCAATGATCTTGACATAATTCCAACTGCACGTGCACACAGCCCCTGATCCATACTCCCTCTGGCATCGTTGTTGGCAGTCCTCGGTGGCCGCACCGACGATGAAGGCGATATCGGTCCCGGTCAAGACTAAACCAATCACGACGAGGACCCAGCCTCTGACTCTCATCTTCTTCACATCCTCGAAACCAACCGTTATATACGATGATACGGCGGGGGACGACGTCAAATTCGCGCAAGAAGGACTTGGAACTCACTCTCACGGTGACCGCGTAGATCCGTGAGTTGTTGGAAACTTGAAGAAGGCCGTCGTCAACCGATCGGTCGCCCGAGTTTTCCATCTTTGCTGTACCTCCGAGGGATTCCTGGTTTTTAGCTAAAACCAAGTGTGCAAAAAAATATGTCATTATCACACATCCCATACGGAACCGCAAGTAAACATTGATTGTTGGGAAGAGTGTCTTTAATTTATATAGAAAACGACATTCTTTCCATAATATGGAGAATATACCGGTGTCATCATACAATTTCATGAATTTCAATTTACGTTTCATCTATTGTAAAGTGAAATAAATTTTGTTTTTGTTTCATTTGCATTAAACAAACGGCGTCTCCTGCGAGGAAGACATGGGAGTGAACGTCATACAGAGAATGCCCTTGAAAGGTTGAAACGCATTAGTGAAATTGCTTTCTTCCCTTTTTCTCCCCCCCCCCCCCCCCGTTGTTTCGCCAACCCTGAGGCAGATTGTACAGGGACCTAGACCGAGCCCTTCTTGGATGCATTTCTCGCTGGCCTTCGTGAACGACTCTTTCCAATTTCCATGGGGATCAGCTGTGCTAGGGAGGAAACACAGCTTATTGATTCATACTCAGACCTAGTGGAATAATCGACCTCACGTCACTTACCCTAACAAAACGTCCACATGTGGATTTGGAATCGGGTGGATGTCCTCCTAGGCGTTATTTCCACCTGTTGGAGCGATATCCACCCGGAGTAAAATCCACTTGACTTAAAATACATGGCGCGAATGGATAGGTGGATTTCCACCGGGGGGAACGTCCACCTATTTCCAAATCCACCCCCTATCCACCTGGTTATTTGACCGCCTAAAGGTGTGGGCATTTTCAATTTTGTGGTTTGCATGGAAATAACGTTAATTAAAAATAATGGGGAAATAGTATTGAATCAGTCTCATCATATACACGGAATATTGGTAACGGTTCCAATCATTTACGACGTATTCATTTAATGTCATGCACAGGAAAATAAAAACGCGCTGATGTTCGATGTGGCGCACAGACGTACGTCGCAACCTACGTTTGTCGAAAAGGTACCGAAGCAAAACAGAAGTAAATGTGTATTCGTCATGTGTCTTCTGAAAAAGGACGAATGCGGACTGCACTGTATTCCAGGACCCCATTTTCGGATGATCAATAAGGCGGGCTTTGGAAAGACGGAGCACCTAACTTCCAATCGGGGCCACGTCACAGAGAGTACTTTCTTCGCCGACTAAACCTTTATTTTTTGGGGGCCCATCTGCACCGAGTAAAATGGGAAGCACCTGTGCGACTTTCCACACTGTGCTACCTTCAGCCCGATGGAGCGCCGCTCAAACACATCCGGCCATGCTCACAGCCCAGACAGGAATCGTTCCGCCATTTTTTATTGCTTGATTTCGCTGCTGCAACCGACGTAGCTGTAGCTGTCGAATCCCTCTACCTGTTTTACTAGTTCATATATTCCCAATTCTGAACCTCGGTAGGTGCCAGCGTCTAGATCTGCAGATATCATCAGATAAGCAAAAAGAAGGCCGTGGATCAAGTCTACGTGACGGCAAGAGAGACGAAATGGGCAAGGAGAAAAATGTACAGGTGAGTCCATAGAGACGGCACAATTTTCAATGCGCATTCCGCCAATTTTTCGTATCCGAAACTAAATAATTTTTCTTAAAACTACCGTTTAAGATATTTCAAGACCGATCATTTTTGTATAGATAGTTCTTTCTTCTTTCTATTAAATGTAACCGGGAAAAAAATCATTGAAAACGTCACACGTAAAATGCGAAGCGAAAAGTGTGCCCCTTTTGGACCACCCCGTGACGCTTAAAGAGAGGAGAAAGGCAGAGGGAACTTACTCCGAACGGCGCATTTGCAACGAGAATGCTTCGACGACCTCCCCCGGTTCGCTGCTTGGAGCGTGCAATGCACGGTCGTGGGGCGCCTCGAAGTCAGGTGCGACATCCGGTAGAATCTCTTTGCCTGGCCTCATCGCGAGTGCATGGCTGACGCATGGACGGGTGCAGATGTGCATGGCTGACGCATGGGCGGGTGCAGATGTGCATGTTCCAGTGGAAGTCAACGTTTTCAGCTGTGTCCAAGCTTTCCTTCCATGACTCAACACAATATGCATATAAACAGCGCAATTCTTCCCTCCCCTTAGTACCAAGTTCAGAAATTGGTGTCAGCATTTATTTACGAAAGTCTCAGTTGCACTCTCATCCGACAACAAATCAATGGGTGGCGGATATCAACTAATCATTCGGTAGGTACATGCTTTTGAAGTTATTTGGACAGTGAGATTACAGAAATGAGCTAAATTTTGTGCCAATTAGGTGCTTTAAAATTGATTTGAAATTGATAACTGAAGTATTGACAAATGTAAGGGATGAATTAGACTTTTTTCTTTCACGAAAATTTTCGATATTGTTCTCCTCAGAAAGTTGCGGGCTAAATTGGAGGTTCACTGCGTGCGATGCAAAGCGAATCGCGGAATTCGAAAGTGGTTTTCGGGACGAAAGCGGAACGTAAGTGTAAATGGAGAAGTGTCGGCTCGAGTCGGAAGAGCAGGCAATTTCCCCCGGATCGATTCAAGCTTTTCCTTATGAGTGGCCGACCGTCCCGAGTGGGACGAGGGTGTGGTTTTGTAGTGGTAAGCAGTGATTTATCATCACTGCTTACATTTTAGTATCAGTAACATGGGTCTTACTTATCTGAAGTGGCCACTCAACATTTGTCGTTCCGGCAAAATCTCCCGGTGATCAACACTCGTGATTTTGTGGACAGAGAGGGCTGCAAGATCGTGACTCATGTATCGGCATTAAAGTGGTTCAGAATCTTTTCCAATCCAAGAGCGGGGAAGGGATGAAACAATACTAGACTCTTCGTAAGGAACTCTGCTATTTCCGGCAACTTTGGATATCAGAGCGAAAAACCAATGCAGTTCACGAGCTTTTATTGCTTTGTGCAAGTCCCAATATGCGACATTATCTCCTTGGCATGAGTTCTGTTTCCAATCCTTAGGTATATTTGGCATGTTCTATTGTCATCCATTTCAGTTCTGGTTTTTCCCTATTCTTGGAATATTTATTACCGATAGAAATTTCACATTTTTCCTGCATATATAATATAAAGGTAAGAGATCATTTTGAGAAATTTCCATGCTGTGCTGATATATTTGTTTTCAAATCTTTCAAGTTTCAAGGTATGTTTGAGAAACATCTGGATTAATATCATGAGGGGAAAATAAACCGTACATTGAGAACTTATATATGCATGGTGAACATCAACATATTCGTGCCGTAGTGCTTCATGATCACTGAAACTGAAGTGCGCGCGACATGAAAATGCAGGACGAATGATATCGAGAAACGAAAACGACCAATCTATCCCAACTGCACAGAGCTGGAAACATCCTCTGTGGAAATTTCTTCCGTGGGCAATCACTGTCGAGTCTTGGTGAGTCAGGCGGCTATATGGCTGGACCGACAACCTGCACTGGCGATCGATGGCTAAGGATCCAAGCGGCTACCATACTGATGAACCATTCCAGGATCTGTATCATGGTCAACACTGCAAAAAATTACATTTGTCGCACGTAAAATAAATTGGCACGTAGTCTAGAAAATACAGTGTATCAAAAGTTCCGCCAACTTTTTGTACATTATTTTAGCAATATTTTGTTAATCGAGTTCGTTTATTCCTGAGAAGCAAATAAAAAACGTTGTGCCTGCACTCATGCTTATCTTGATTTCGATCCAAATATCAACGCGGAAATGTTAAGCAAATGCTAAGCATGAACTCCAAATCCGGTGAGAACGCAACGGGCATCGCTAGACAACCCCGTTCAGAAAATATACGGAGAAACCATCAGTCGATCGTCAGTGTCAATTCGAAAATTGACGCGATGGCATGTGCATCATTTGTAGACCTGACACGCTTTGGATGTCCATGTAATGGTTGCTCTGAAGAAAACGTCAAATCGATCTACATGAAGATTTATCCATCACTTTCAAAGTGGACGCAAATTGGGACAGTAGGTATGACGATTCCTCTGCATCAGTCGGACGAATTTTGCGGATCTCAAGTTCACAGGCTTGAAATGAATCTTCTGTTTGTAGTTTAATTATACATGTCATTTGAAAATATTTGTTGGCTTTCATATGCTCTAGGCCAGGGCTTCCTTACCTTTCATTTGGGGTCGCCGAGATCATATTTGGTTATGTTTTTTTTTAATTTGTGTGCGTAAATGAGAGAAACCTGTCGACCTCTACCCACTGCTTGGGGACCCGAATGGTATGATTATATTATTTGGGGACTTGTAATGACATGAGTCATTACCAGTCGAAAGTGGAGCAGAATTATAGATTAACCTCATACATTATTTAAATAATTTTTCCTGCTCGTGGTTTACCTGAGGCTCCGAGAAGCAACCCGAGAGTTCCTCCGAGATCGCATAGGAGGGCAAAGACCTCATAACTGTACTCCTCTTGGATTTCCTCGTAGTTCATGTCCACATAATAGAGCTACGGAAAAGCAGAAATGATTTTTAAAAAAATACCCAAGGGTTTGTCAGGCTTTGACGCAGAAAGAGAAAAATTATGTTCGCGTATCTCACTCGAAAGACGGAGATATTGTCTGTTCGAATACGGGAATCGATGGAGAAACTGTAGATATCCTGATTGCACTGCGTGGGACAGCCACATTGGTCAGGGATCCAAGCGGGGATGGTCGTGTCTCTCCCGTCCACCATTCGGATGCTCGTAAGCGAGGCGTTCCTGAACTCCTTTCCCCCGTTGCACATCCTAGTCGTCGAATTCGCCATGAACGGAAGTCTAGTGCAGGATGAGTAAAAGAAGTATATAAGTAAAAAGAAAATAGCATATTGCGAGGTTTGAAAGTTTAGCTGCTGCCGACTTCTGCAACGATAGTGAGACGGCACGTGAGGACGGGCAATTGATGGTTATGAATCCTATGCACTAAATATAACTGTTACGAATACATTTTTTTTTGCTTTCATGTTTCATGTTTTCATGTTTCATGAACATGAATAGAACTGCTGATTTGGTAAACAAATCAGTAGTTCGAAGCTAATGCCTGGATCTCACCTCGCACTAAAACATGGAAATATCATCTTAGTATGTGGTGGATGGTAGTGTTTCTGATCAAATTCTTCTGTCGTTACGATCGTAGATGATTCCTATTTAAGGAGAAGGGTGAAAATTTGTGATGAAACGGTCGATTCCAAAGCATGGATTGATTTTATGCGTCTTGAATGAGGAAGTACTGAACCCCCGTTTGGTGCTACTCGGGAAAATTCAATCCATGAGGTCAATGAATGTCCAGGGAACGCAAAATTTGAACCGTTGTTATTGGCTCCCATTTTCGGAAATGTAACCATCCGAAAGACGTTCCCAAGTATTATTTTTACAAGCGGGACAAGTAGGAAAGCGTTAAGTGAAACTTCCTTTGTGCATTCATTAGATCTTCCCGTGCTACTTAAGTTCTTAGAGAGACAATTTCAGGATGAATCCAGATTTTTAGATACATCCCCTGGGGCCTCAATTTGGATGAGATGATCTTTCCCTGAACTTACAGTATTTCATAGCAACAAAACGAAAATGTATAATAAAAGCCCAAAGTGTGGTACACAAGAAGTATTTACTTGTATTTCAGGAAAATTACTCATTTTGTGATGCATTCTGTGAGAGGCGTTTTTCCCCATTTTTCTTCCAACCAAAGAAAGTAGTTCGTAATGCTGAGCTATGAAAAGGAACTTATAAAGGAAAGACAAGGAAAACCAATTCTGGGGAAACAAGGAATCACCCTATCCCCCATCCCAGGACAAAGTAACCTGTAAAATGTACATTGGAAGAAAATCTTGACTGAACGATCCACACTTAGTTTATACTATTGTTTTACTATCCCCGAACAAAGAGAAGAGTAAACTAATAAGACTCATGAGAAGCCTTTTAAATTGACAAGTGACAATACAGTGTTTCTTAGTAAGTTTCGCGCGTCTTGCAGAATGCGAGGCACTAGCAGAAAAATATTCCGTACCTCCCTCAAAATGAATCGCACGCGTTGCATAATGTTTCGTATCCCATGCTCTCCTCCGCTCCTCCAGTACTGCTCAGAATGGCAAGACCACCTGGCAACCCTGATGGAACCATGTCCGGGATTCTTGATACATCGGCTGCATCACAAAGTCCGTCGTGGATGGTACCTGGGGGTTCGATATCCATCTATTCTATATCCTTACCACGAGTCAGGCATTCCTTCTCCAAGGGTTGCCAGAGGGATGCTTCATTCAGTGAGGCACCTGCTCGCTGGGCGGGAGGGGGCGGCGAAACATTATGCAATGTGTGCGGATCATTTTGAAAGGAGTACGAAACAAAGTGCCGCTCGTGCGTAACATTATGCAGCAGTAACGAAAGTCAATGGGAAACACTGCAAATATATTTTCTCACCTGCAACCAACTCTGGCAATGAGTTCCTTTTCGTAGCAAGCCCGATGACAATTTGAGAGAACATAACCGGGATCCATTTCGCATGGGTTACTGCCTCTTCTCAGAACTCGAAACTGCTCGAAAAGAATGAGAACTTTAAGTGATCTAGTTATGTCACAGCAATATCCTCATATTACTCCAAAAGCGAGTTTTATAAATGCAGTATCAAGACTAGTGCTATTGATGTAATTATTAAAACGGCGACATGAATCCATCTAGTGTCCCAGATTTAACAGGACACAGGATTTGGCCATTTTTTGTTGAATTTTTTATGTTGAAGACTAATCCGCAAATAATATTCAGCAGCTAACGCAAAAATGTAAAATTCTTGGCGTTGATTTCTTGAATCACAGTATCCCTCGTCAGTTCATTATTTTTCGTATAGTGTTTCCTTACGTTTCGGAGTGCGATTCCGAAGCGCAAGTCCAGGTTCTTCACAATTTCTTGGCGTTGAGTAAGGGCTATCACTGTAGGAACTTCCTCCCGCTCGTGGATCACAGCTTCCCATACTTCAGCAACCGTGCTTTTGTTTCCATCCACTTGATCAGGTTTCGCATCCCTGTCCGCGTGCACTTCAATGTGACACATCAGGTCATTGTCAAACGAATGTCTAATGATTTCTCGAAGGGAGAACGAGTTTGAAACCGACCCAAGCTGAGATAGAGTCCGTTGTAGACTCCGGGGAGTGTGATGTCGTTTCCTTGATACGTGAAGCATCTCCCGGTGACAGTGTAGACTTCCGAGAACTTTCCTGCATCCTGGCAGTACGTTCCTCGACCTAGGAAACACTGGAGAGTCCCCATCGAGTGAGTTGGATTTCTTTTGAATGAAGGAAGACATCCGATTCCGGTCCACGCCTCCCTTTGAACACCCCTCCCCCCATTCCCTCCGTCCTCGGGGAAGTGGAGAGTCCAGCGTTGCACTGGCATACCCAACATATTTGGAGATGAGATGACTGCCTCGACTGGCTTCGGGGATGGTGGGAAATGGCATTCGCGAAGAGGTACAAAAGAAATAAGGAATGGAACAAATACGTTTTTTTTCTGCCACATCTTCGTCACCTTTCCAGTAGTGGCATTGTAATCCACTGCTTACTACTTTAATAGGGATGTTCCTCATAAACGTGTCTTTGTCAAAGTCACCGATTTTAATCTGAAGTAATTACTTATTTCCAGTGCACTTAGAATAATTACCTTTTTGTAAAATTTTAAGAGGAGAAGCAGAGATTGGTCCAATTCGGAATCGTTATACCGATATTGAAACTGTGCTTACGCTTCGCACCAAGCACCTCTGCCACCTACTGCTTCCACCTGCTCATGAATGCTGTTAGCATTACCAACTTCATAGGATAAATATTCGGTCATGGCCCTTTCACCTTATTTCGAAAAATTAGTCATTTAATCAGGTGATATAATGCACAGTACAAGATAATTAATTTAAGAGAGGTTTAATGTCATTACAATTCTCGGTTGAATTTTCATCCTGGTGGAGAAGAAACATACGTACTTAGGAATATAGCACTGCTTTTAGAAAGATAGCGCTTTGCCAATGATCAGTACTTCCTAAACGCACCAGCTATGTGAGAAATGAGTGGGTCTGGTCATTGAGGCGTGGCTGTCAACATCGGAAGAATCACTGGTCTCACCACTGCAGTGAGGTCATCAGGACAGCCACTACACTGAGGGTATACTGTCCAAAGCTCTTCGTTTAAATTATGTGGTGTTGTGATGGGTATACCCCTAAAACCAAAACTGTTTCATGTCTCATGGTGCAATGTCTGGTGCGAAGTCAGTTCTGGACGCGATAATAGAAGCGGCGATAAAAAAAACTTAAAAAAATGCAGGTATTAGACAGCTGACAGCGGAGGTCGATCGTGTGCTCCCGAAGAAGGAACTGTCTTCGCTTCCTCAATCTTGGGAGAGAGATTTTCGTTTCCGAATGGAACTGTGCATGCACAAATGGTACTGGATCTCAAAAGGATATATGAAAATAAATGGTCGCCTTCTCGATTCGGGAAGTGTTGGTCTTGGGAATTTGAAACCATAGAAGTGATAATAGGTGTATCGTGAGAAAAGTGATAAAAGCAGGACAGGAGCGTTCTCATTGGTTCTCTCAGAAGCAGTGATGGGACCGATCAGAGCGCTACATATTGACCTCACTCTAGCCTTCTAGGAAATACAAAAGTCGTCGTACGCTTCTGATAATGCGTGAGATGTTGTAGGTTGCGAGTTGCCAGAACTTTTCGACACCGATTTTCGTGGTCAAGGTCTCGGTTGCGGTTGTTAATCCAGGGTATTTCAAAGACCCGAATTCCGCTGTCCACAGATTCTCCACTCGCTTTGCGTCGAATCGGTCCCCGTCGACACTAAATGAACAGTGATTTGAGTTACAACGCAAACTTGTAGTCATTTTAAAAATGAAATTCGTATGCGTACTCGATTTTGTTGCAGAAACTTATGGCAGGAAAGATGAGCGATTCGTTGCGAAGGAGTTGCAACCGAACTACGATCGGTCCAGATTTGTAGGTGAAGAGCCGGTCCAGGCATTGAGCCAACATTAGTGCGAAACAAACGACCAATATGAGGCTCCAGATCACTCTTCTGTGTTTGAAAATTGAGAGTCAATATTATTGCTAAAATTCTTCCTTCTGGATGATATGAAAATGACAATAAACGTGAATCTTCAAGTTTAATCGGGAGTGGGAGATTCCTTAAAACCTGCACGAACGGAACGAGCCGGAGAAATATGAGGTCTAGGACAACTCACCGGCTGACATGCTGCCCACGATCGATGACGACGTGGAGGCCCGAGACGTCGATCTCAAAGGCGGAAACCGTGTTGAAAGATACGATGCGACGACTCCGTCTCCCTGCTCTCGTTTTGGCCCAGTTTTGGCCCGCTTCTTTCGGGAGATGCATTGCGCCGAGAGCCGGTTTCCTACTTTTCGCATGGAAGCCGTTGAAAGTACCGAACTCTTTTTACTCCCGTTTGCATAACCGTGCGGTGAAAACTGGTGTTTTTAGTATAGAATAAAAATACTCCCGCACCCTTTCGGTCTGAGGTTTCTGAGGGCCTATAGCTGGGCTCTCAAATTGGGGGTGCGACCCATAGGGAGGGCGCGAGAGGGGGGTCCCAAGGGGGGGCGCGAGAGGGGGGTCCCAAGGGGGGGCGCGACAGGTGGGTCCCAAGGGGGGGCGCGACAGGTCATGGAATTTTTAAATGTTCTACTGCAATGTGGAATTTCAAAACCATGGAATAATTTATTTCTTTATATTTTTTTTTGGAAAAAAGTCACTTTCCTTCAGGTCCTTCTGGCTCTTTCTCCAGGAGTACAAGACTAAATGAACGCAATTCAAGGGCAGACTTTCCTGTTCAAATCCTATCTTCAAGGGGGGTACATCTCCATCGGCGATTTCCAAAGATTCGAATGAAGATGAAAATTTAAGCATTCTTCCCTTTGGGTTGTAATTTGAATGCTCCTGTGAACTCGTTCTAAGTAAATACTTGAAGAAACTCAACGACGCGGAAGAACTGGGTTCCCTGGGCATACCTAAATTTCCGAAGGCATTTCCTTGCCAAGTCTTTGAAAATGAGATTTGCGCCATCGTTGTTACCGTCCATTCCGGATTCGCTCATTTGTGGGCCCTGAAGCATCTGAGCGTCGTTCCCATGAAATTACGCAAATGATCATCCGATTTCTAGCTGTCACCCGATCCCTGAAACGTTGCAATCCGTTTCCTATTTTTTCCAATCGTCGCGGGAAAAAAATCATCCGTGATGTAAGTTCAATTTCTAGGTACTCCTCTCAGAGAGAAGGGGACGACGCGACGATAAGCCAGGGTCGCTGGTGGGGGGGGGGGGACACCGAACCGGGGGCATTAAGGGGGCACGGCTTAAACAGTTTGAGAACCGCTGGCATATGGGCTCCCAGCGATCAACTGCCATCGACGCTTTTTGACCTTGAATGCCAAACGAGTTGGAGCAAAACATATAAACCATGCTCTTTATCGTGGTCATCTAATCGCTCATTACTAATCGTGCTCGAGCACGAATTTTTTTCAATAGAGTGGGGAAAAGACCATGTGGACAGGAATTTCAAAGCTTTGGACAATTGGTACCGAGCATGGTGAAGGGGACTTCATTGGATGTGAGACGTTTGGCAACTTTAGCAAGGAATGCAGTCATTGGGCACTTAGTATTCCGGTCATTTTGCTCAGGAGACTCATATTTCTTATGAAGCTGCTCGGCCACAAGACTCACGGTTTCGGCCGCACTCATTCTAAAAGAAATATGCACACAACCTCTCGATGTGCCGGAGGACGTAACCAGAATTCTGGATGTATTTCGCGACCTGAGAATTCATCATCGTAATTGGTGGAAAAATGACGCTCGGTCAATATTGAACCTGAAGCAAAGCGATACGGGAGAAGGCGTTTCGAACCAAGGCCGCGCCAGTGAGAGAAAGTCCCCAGCCTCGAAGAAGGCTCAGGAACCTTATGTGATTTCAATTCGCAAAATTCATCGGCAGTTGCTGGGAGTTGGGGATTGAGATGTTGAGCTGGAGCAAATAACTACCATATTTCAATGGAGGGTTCTATGATGAGGAATTCCAAATGAAGATATCACCCAAGGTGCATTTCAAATTCAGAGTCAAGAAATCGAAAAAAATACGTATTCTGATGAAAGAATCGATACATTGCAGCGGCAAATTTCCGTGAGGCGGAATGATTGGCGCAAAAAAATTGGCCTGCGAAATGTTATCGGAGATATTTATTTCACCATATCAATTCGACGTTATTCAGGGCTCTTCAACGAGAATCCACATTCTCTGTCGAGCATTTCTTATTAATGGCTAAAAAGCATGGAATCCGTTTTGGTGGGGAAAAAAAAACTTGAAATGAAATCTCCTTGTCTGTGAATGGACTATAAAAATGGACTGGGTTGTGGTACATGTACATACACCAGGTACATGTCCCACTTGCCAGCTCTGGTCCGTCGCCTTCCAGGCCGGTAAAGGCCCAGTATCAGATAGTTACCAGTATCATTTGTGGTATACCGTCGGCTGGGAAGGGACCTAATCCCTCCATGTATATCCGATTTGATTATACATATTGACTGTGGAGCCTACTCAGAAGAGTACTAAGATGAACCACATGGAAAGCTGAAACTTGACATGGAAACTTGACATGCCTACTGAGACAGTGAGTTCAGAAAAAATGTCGAGTCTCCCCGTGGACATTTTTTGGGGGTGACGTTTTCAGGTATTTTTTGTTTGTCCTAGCGAATTGAGGAGAAATTGAAAGGTGAAACTTGGCATACGGCAGGACAACCCTGCTGGTGAGTGTCATGGCGGCAGCCTGTTCATGATCGCTCTCTTTTTAAATTTGACTTGAACGTGATTTGACCATAATCCCGATACATTGGACTACCTGATTCTGCCCGTATTTCCCCGATTCCGGGGTCTTTCTTTTGCAGCAATTTTGGCGTTCATTGTACACGCTCAAACCACCGCCCATGCTGCATTGAGGCGTATTATTGTTGAACATAGAGCTCCAACCAGTCCAACGTGGTAACGATCATATACCGGGGACCGGCCAGAAGGACTGGGAAGGGATTAATATGGGAATAGATCTACAACAATGGAGAATGGCGATTGGTGGCTTCCACGCATGGACCGGAGGTGGGCCTAGGCCTAAGAAAGCATTCTTGGGAAGAGATGAAGATAAGTTATGTCAAGTGTCCCAGAATGAGATGTGGGTCGTCCAGAAGATTGGATGTAAACTCAATGTTCGGTCTGAACTGTTGGCTATAGTCATGGAAGCCCAGATGGATGAAGGAAGAACCAAATCTCCATATTATAAGCCAACGCATCTCCCAATATGGATAATACTCCTTTTACTCATATATGTGGAGGTCTGGTGGAGTTGCTCATATATGGCACCTGAAGATGATGATACCATAGGAAGTGCACTTACTCTGGCTGATCTCCCTAACCAGCTTAATGGAGATGCATATGTAACTGAAGGATGTTGGTTAATGGATATTATATGGCTGATAGTAGCAAGCCTTCTCTGCTCAGGAGATGTAGAGCTTAATCCAGGGCCAACAGTAGCACAGGATTGGATGAATGAAGTAACAAAGCAGTTGAAAAAGCTTGATCTTCTATCTCAGATGGAGAAAGATATAAGAGAAATTAAAGAGGAAATCAAGGAAATTCCTGAAATAAAGCTCAAAATTGAGGTGCTACAAGAGGAGAACCAGAAATTACACAAGGCAAATAGAGAACTTAAATCCCTTGTATCTATGCAGGAAACTAGACTGAATACTTCTGAGAACAGAGAGAGGGCAAAAAATGTGATAGTCTATGGGTTGCATCATTCTCAAAATGAAACGCGAGACCAACTTGTAGAAGCCATTCTACCCTGGATGGTTGGTGTCAGTCAAGCCCAGAATGGAACCGAGCCAACTAGAAAATGGCACTCAAAACTGTCAGAATTTGGAATTGTTGCAATACAGAGGTTACGAGCACAGTCAACTCCTGCTCCTGTGCTAATCTCTTTTGTCTCCATGCACCAAAAGTTCACCTTCCTTCAAATAGCCAGAGAAAATGCCCCAGATGCAATCAGTTTCTCCATGGACTGGGCACCAAGTATCCGCAGAACACGAAGATGTTTGCTTCCCTACCTGAAACATGCTAAAGATCTGGGGAAGAAGGCAAGATTACAAAGAGACCAGCTCTGGGTGGAGGGTAAGATCTACATCTGGGACCCAAGCAAAGACAAAGCAGTCTCAGTAGGAGGTCAAGAGCCATGGCCATATGATCTTAAAGGAACACAAAGCATGAGTGAAGCTTCAATCAACCAGGAGAGGCAGTTCTCAGTAGGAACAAGAGATTCTGCAGAGGTGCTGCCTCATGAAGAAGAGGCAACCTGGAATAGGGGAAATAGTGAGAAGAATCAAGAACATCATATGCAACAAAAAGACCCAGAAGAAGAGAATGCCCAAGAAGAGGTATGCCTGGAGGATGATCAGACAACCCCCCAGAAGGAAAATCACAAGGGTCATAAAGGCCTACAAGGACGAGTGATGAGATCATGTGCAAGGGGCAACGCATCTCAAGGAGCCATCCCCAAGAAGAGACATCCCAATTTGAATCACTTCAAATATAAAGAAGATGAGAATGGGCCCCCTAAAGGATAGGACAAGCTAGGCACCCAATCGCAAGACCACCCCTATGAGTCCTCCCATTTGTGCTGCATAAGTTGGAATGTTCAAGGAATCCTGTCAAAAATAGGAGACCCAGGGTTTATTCAATTGTTGGCAAGAGGTGATGTCATCATATTAACAGAGACATGGCTGATTGATGAGGATAGAGTGGTCATAAATGGTTATCAGACCTTCTCTCTGCCAGCTGTTCGACTTAATAAAACTGGTCGAGCATCTGGAGGCATCTTAGTAGGAATAAACAATAGAATAAATGCTGATATGCATAAGTTGAAGCCCTCCAGTGATGCAAAGGGTATTTTGTGGTGTCATCTATGGTCTGAAACTTTTGAACTTATCATAGGGGCTTGTTACAACCCCCCACAAGGATCAAATAATCATGACTCTCTCTTTTTTCATAGATTAGCATCTGATCTGGGAGCTTTTAGGTTACAGTACCCAAGAGCACTTTGGATTATAACAGGTGACTTAAATGTACGAATTGGAAATACTTGTGAAACCTGGCCCCTGTGGGAAGTAGGAGTGGAAGTGGATGAGATCGATTTACAGCCAAGGTTATCAATGGACTTGATCAGGCCAACACAGCTTGCAAAGGAATGGTTAGATCTCATTGATATCTTTAATGGAGTGATCCTGAATGGTAGATTTGGGAAGATTTCAGCATTACATACATTTATCTCACATGCTGGTTCCA